CCGTCCACGGGAGGCTGACAGCTGCTTCTCACTGAGGCCAGGCAGCCCGGGGCGGTGCTCCTGGGGGGGCCTGCACTGGGGGTGGCCTTCCAGGAAGCTGCACCTGCTGTCTGGACAACCGTGTAACAGACGTTTGCTGGTTTCGGTCTCTCTATTTCTTCTCTCAAAGCAGCAGTTTGATTCTGGAGCTGGCATCTCTCCCAGTGGTGAACAAGTCCAGGCAACCTTACCCACTGTGCATAAGAGCAGACCAAGTCTCTGAAGGGCTTCTTTCAGGAGCAGACATGCGACTTTGCCAGGAACCCCAGCGAAAGTTTCTTTGCATCCCCCTTCAGGGTTCTGAACCACGCATGACAGCACGGGGTTGGGGACAAGCTCCCCACTGGACTGAGGGGTGGAAAGGCTCCCTCAGGAGCTGGGCTCTTCCAAGAGGGCCAGAATGGGATGTGAACTGGGCCCCTCAGCAAAGGTGGGAGGGAAAGGGGTGCTGGGGACAGACAGCGGTGTCCCAAGCCACAACAGTTAACCTGAGGACATGGGTTCTCCTGGCCCTTAGGCCAGCCTCGGCCTGACACAAACATTCTGGAATGTTCTGAGCAGAGATGGCCCTTACCTCGGCTTCTCGGTGTACCTCTTAACACCTGGAAACAAAAACCCTTTTTTTATATTTATATGGAAAATGCCTGCATCTGAGATCTTGCTCACCTGCAAAGTCCAGAGAAAGCCAGCGTGTAGGGAAGATGAGGAATTAATCGCTTTGATCCAAAGATGGCACTGAGGCAGCCAGACCCACTCCCCCTTCCCGTTCACTCTTAGTCCACTGGGATCTGCATTGTGTATACAAAGTGTGTATATAAAACTCAAAAGTAAACCCATTCCTGGGTTTGGATTAAAAAAAATAAAAGACTGCCCTCTGCCAGAAGCTGGCTGGAGCCTGGCACTGGCAGACAGAGTTAGCGGTTTGTCGGCTTTGAAGTGAAGGTTTCTTTCCCTCTTTACTAGCCATGGAAAGGACTTTAAAGGAAAAGCAAGGAGCAGTCGGCGAGGAGTACTTTTCTCTGGCAGACGAGGTAATGTCTTTGGGTATAATCTGCTGCTTAGAGCGCGGGGTTGAGAGCAGACGCCACACCACCGCTGGCGCTCACGGGCCCACCGCTCAGAGACGCAGGGCTGCTGCGGACACTCAGACGCCGTCTTCTCCAGGAACCCCAGGGCTGGCTTAAATGTCAGGGGTCACATTTTAGGTGTGGTGAGCAGGGGTGCTCCAGCTTTAAACAGAAGAATAGCCTGGAGATTTATCACAATTCAGAGGCTGGGGCTCCATGCTCAGGGATTCTGATTCTGTGTGTGTGTATTCCAAGTACATATTTTTTTGGTGGAGAAAGAGGTTGTCATTTTAACAAGCAGCCCAGATAGTTCAGATGTAGGTGGTCAGTGGACCCTACTAAGAAATTTCACCTCAAGAACCTATAGAATGTTGAAAATAAAGTGAAAAAGAACCCATAAAATGTTAAAACTCTTTAGTCAAAAGAAATGGGAGTTTAAGTCACAATATTCTGATTTTTAAAGGCTTAAGGAAATAACTGATCAGTGAAAGATCAAGAAGAGGAGGCATGTCTCTCAGGTAATTCTATTTTGACTCCTGGTAAGAAACGCCATTTGCCTTCAGAGACTAGTTTAATTTTACGACTCAAAAGAACCGTGTTCCATTGCCAAAACCTGACTGCCCATGACCTACAAAAAATGTTTATAAAAATCACTAGAAACAATCTTATAATAATATAACAACAATAATCTTAAAAATGCAGTCTTTTTTCCAGAATACCGTCACCCGAAAGCCTTGGCCAACCGTCTCAGTCAGCTTGAGCTGCTGTAACAAAATACCCCAAAGTGGGTGGCTTCTCAACAGCAGGAATGTATTTCTCCCTGTTCTGGAGGTTGGGTATCTGAGGCCAGGGTGCCAGCCTGGCTGGGCTCTGGTGAGGGCCCTCTTCTGGGTGGGAGATGTCTAACTTCTTTCATCTATTTTTTCCCTCTCTTGCTGTGTCCGTCAGGCATTTTTAAAAATTGAAGGACAGATGATTTACAATATTGTGCTAGTTTCAGGTGTATAGCAAAGTGACTCAGATATGTACATTTTCAGATCCTTGGGTTTTCACACAGCAGAGAACGAGCAAGCTGTCTCTGAGGTTGTCTCTCCGCTCATCTGATCTCTAGTCCCTCCCCAAGGTCCCAGCTCCATGTTGGAGAGGGGGTCAGGGCCTCAGCACAAATTTGAGGGGGGCCCAAACATTCAGCCCACAGGACCAGCATAGCACCAAAGGGATGGATGTGACTTGGCCACATTTTCAACTTCAAGACCAGGGATAAGAAATAGTCCTTTCAACACTGACTGTGGATTATCCACCCAGCAGCTCCTGGACATGAAAACTACAGTGGAATTGCCTTCCATGTCTAATGAAAACCTCGGACTCAGCCAGTGACGGGCGATTTCAGAACAACATCTTTTGCCTCATGGAAATAGACCAACCAACCTAAAAGCTGAAACGATGTAGTTTATGTTAAAAAAAAAAAGCTTTTATACCTAAGAGAAACATGATTTAATATTACAAATTCCTTGCTCTTGGATGGCAGGAATAGCTCACTGGTTTTTTCCAGAAAGTCCCCAACTATGGAAATTTCATCATTACACTGAGCCTTTGAACCACACAAAAGAACATGCAACTCGGACTACACAGTGAATGGTCCCCCCACATATCAAAGGTCAACCTCCTGATGAACTGGTGACCAGTCTAACTCATGCACGTCTGAATTGGGGTTACTGGAGCCAGTGAACATAGAGGGGTCACTGGAACATCTCTCTGGGGAGGGGCTTTCAAAGGAGGGGGCTTTGTCAACCAGCCACCCGTCAGCTGATTCCATCCTTCCGCTGTCATTCTCCTCTAATTTAGAAGATTGTCCTCTGCAGTTGGCTGCTGTCCCTTTTATCATCCCCTGCCCCAAATCCCCCCAGTGAAATGTTTATTGGGCCACACTCACCCTTAACCACAAGGCAAGAACATGAAGCAGATACTTTAGGCACCAAGCCTTACCCGGTGATCATCATTATGGATAGTTTTCTTGCTTAATTAGCCCATGCATATGGAATCTACAAAGATGATACTGATGAACCTATTTGCAGGGCAGCAATGGAGATGCAGATGTAGAGAAAAGACTTGTGGACACAGTCGGGGAAGGAGAGGGTGGGACAAATTGAGAGGGTAACATGGAAACATATACACTACCATATGTAAAATAGACAGCCAGTGGGAATTTGCTATATGATGCAGGGAGCTCAACCCAGTGCTCTGTGACAACCTAGAGGGGTGGGGTGGGGGGGTGGGATTCACGAGGGAGGGGACACATGTATACTTATGGATGATTCATGTAGATGTGTGGCAGAGGCCAGTACAATATTGTAAAGCAATTATCCTCCAATAAAAAAAAATTCAAGAACAGAAAGAACTGGTTGAAGGGTACAAAGCATCTTTGCTGGGAAATGCTTGTTTGGCTACGCAACGATCTTCTTGATTCATTCACTGCTCTGTAATTTCTTATACCGCTTGGATTTGGGAAGGACCTAAAAAGTGTGTTATATGTTTGTCCTGGTGCCTTACAGGAGGCAAAGCTGTGTTCAGGGACACACAAGTCACCCCTCTAGGATACGTCCATCCTGCTCAGCACTTCAGAGGAGGTCCCAGGCCCCCGAGGGTACATCAATGGATTCACCAAGTAAAAATGGCAAGCAGCCCACCCCGATGACCTCACAGTAAACAGTTGCCGGGTGTGTATCTAGACCTAGGAGACCCGAGTTCTGGTTCATTAGTGTAGAGTAAGTGAGGTAAAGATAGCAGCCCAATGTGCCGTGCATGGGCCTGCCCCTATAATACATCAGCGTGGGGCAGGAGCCAGAAGAAGCCTGTAACCCACAGCCTTCTCTTCCGATGCTTGGTTCTGACCAGAGACACCGGAGCCCTCGTGCAAATCTGGGGGGATGACCCAGAGTAAACCTCAGCAGACCGAGCGCATGCCCCCTCCGAACAGCTGCCCGGGCCCTGCGGTGTGCTCCGGGCCTGGAAGTGGGGACAAAACAAGGTAGGCCTGGCAGGTAGAGCTGGGGAGCAGACTACAGCTGGGGTGCTTCCCCAGCACCAGGACTGCTGACCTGGACAAGCCCAACCAGGGACGGTCAGCAAGGAGACCTCCAAAGGGGTCTGAGTGCAAAGAGAACAGGGAATGCAATGTCTTCCTTCATAGACATTCTGTGTCCCTTCCCACAAATCACATATTCTCTTATAACCCCTGAAACACTTCCCTGTAAAGCAAGTTTTACATCTTCATTTGTAAACTGAGGGGGTTTGGAAGCCAGGGCTTTCAAGTTCCCCCCCTAGACCCCATCCTGTAGGATCTTAAGATCCAGTGCGTCAGGGCTGAAGGCTCCGTGGCAAACACAGACGGAGATAATATAAAAGATGAAACAAAATACAAATGAGCGTAAAGGTCTTCTATCTCAGCCTCTCCATGAAGAGATGCACAGTGCAAAATTCTGGTTAACTAGTGATCTAGTTCATAAGGTAGTTAGATTTCTCTTTCACAGGTGACATTGTCAACTACTCAAAGTATAATAATACCACTATCAAAATCGCAACCAATATAATCATGAACGACTCAAATCATCTCCCATTTTCCATGTCTGTGAACCGTACACCTGAGAACAGAATTCACTGCGGAAATGCAGATGCGCTGGGTAGGTCAGAGGACCTACCTGGGTAGGTCACAGTTTACCTAACTGTGAACATTTCAAATGCTCTTGCTGTGGCCTGGACAACCTCTTCCTGGGGTTCTAATGTGGTTTGTTTCCCACCAGATTCATGTTGACAGAAGCAGGCAACACCAGCCTGTCCTGCAGTTCATCCCCACCCTGAGACCCAGGACGCCCACTGACAGTTAGTGGCACTGACCTGTCCTTTCATGTCTGGAGCGATGGGAATGGTGGGCCAGATGGTTGAGTAGATGCCAAAAAACACCAGCCAGATGAGCATGCTTCCCCAGACGGCCAGGTGACTGAACTGCAGGAGGAAACAGACGCTCATCAACAGGGCCATCTGCAGGCCTGGGAGCCATCTGACCAACCCCGCCCCACTGCAGGAGCCCTCGGTCCATGCCACTTTTCTTTACGGAAAGATTTCTATGAGTCACTGGTCATTGGAGAGTTTGATCTTTCTCATTTTCTTGTCTCAGAGTATTTAAAAGTGAATTTAAGTAACTAGTGACCCCAAACCACCCTGAAGAGGAAAGTGCTTTTTGCACCACTGCTGATGGTCCCCTAGGCACACCCCACGGTGCCAGCAGAATCCTGCCCGTCCCTTACTGGTGTGCATTCCAACCTGGTCTGAATAAACAAGGCCTCATTCGTCTAGTAAGAGGGTGTTGGACAGACAAAACGACCAAGGTCGTTTTATTTATCATTCTGAGACTTCAATTGTTCTTTTCTAAAGAACTTAAAAAACAATCTGGCATGGACATATATCTTAACAATACCACTCTGAGCATCTACTGGGTTGTGAATTTCTTCTCCTTTGTCCTCTTAATAGGATAATCCTTGACTTCCTCCATGATCTAATCCATCATGAGCCTCTGTCAGCTTTTTAAAAAATCTGACCACTGCTCAGTGCCTGCTCTAACCCCCAGGCTAAGCCACCATCCTCCCTCACCTGGCTTCATTGTCTCTGTCTCAATTCTCTGCTTCCATATTTACCTCCCACCCCTCTCTTGAGTAATCAGCACAGAATTAGAAGCCTTTGTAACAGCAGAGACAACCGTGAAACATTGGCTATAACCCTCAAGAGTTGGAGATGACTAAAAATGCCCCAAGCTGGGGCCTGATTAAACAAGTGATGGGATATTGATAAAACTCAATCCTCTTTAATCATGAACTATGACTTTGCAGAAGCATATTTTAAAGCATGTAAAATATTGATATATTTTTAAGTGAAAAAAAGGCTACAGTACTCTATGTTCTGTAAAGCTTCATCTTATTAAAATAAATGCACAAATTCTGGAAGATAATACAGCAAATGTTAAAAGTAACTACCTCTTGGTGGTAAAATTATGGAAATTAAAAATTCACCTTTCTGTCCTGTATTTTCTTTGTATGTATATATATATATATTTTATAATGTGCATACATATTTGAAATGAGCTGTTAATAGCTTAGAGTTGTATTAAGAGCCTAGCAAATGATTAGGGAACTTTGGATGGCAAATGTGCCCTGATAAAGATCAAACCACAATTTTTAGATGCAAAAATTTAAAGTCCATGGCTGGACATTGCTTACCGTTTTCCTGGGTTTTTAAAAAGATACTATGCCACAAAAATATCTATACTGGATAGAGAAATATTAATAATTCTATAGAAAACTTACTTTTGTCCAAGCTGTCGTCTCCAAACCAGCTTTCAGGCAAACAGTAACAACAACATACTGTGAAAGAAAGTGCAATTTGGGAAACGAGTTATCCTTGTATTTTCAACAAAACCCCACATCCTCCCCAGGGGCAGTTTCTTCCCAGCAGCTGGACTTTGGAAGTGCTACCTTGGGAGCTAGTTTCCTGGGGGTAAGTTTTAGGAAACTTACAGGCAGGTTTCTTTTAAGAAAAGCCCTCACTTTAGTGATTGTCTTCTCATAAGTAATATTACTCCTCCCTTTTCTTTAACTTGGAAGATTAGGGAGAAATCACCTTCTCTCAATGTAGGGGTTTTGTTTGTTTGTTTGTTTTGCTTGTTTTGATTTTTTCACAAGTAGGTGTGAAATGTTCATGTAAAGACTGAGGGAAGTCTGTTGATCCCTTGTCCTGAAGTCTGAACTTTACAAAAGTGAGTGAGTGAAGTCGCTCAATAGTGTCCGGCTCTTTGCAACTCTGTGGACTGTAGCCTACCAGGCTCCTCCATCCATGGGATTCTCCAGGCAAGAATACTGAAGTGGGTTGCCATTTCCTTCTTCACGAGATCTTCCCGATCCATGGATCAAATCCAGGTCTCCCGCATTGTAGGCAGACGCTTTATCCTCTGAGCCACCAGGGAAGTTCCCACCAGGGAATTTTGCATAAACTTCACTAAAATACAAGGCAAGCATTTTACAACCATTTTGAGCTTGTTGTTGTTGTGCAGTTGCTAAGTCATGTCTGACTATTTGCAATCCCATGGACCGCAGCACACCAGCCTTCCCTGTCCTCCACTATCTCCTGGAGTTGTCTCAGATTCATGTCTATTGAATTGGTGAGGCCATCCAACCATCTCATCCTCTGTCCTCCCTTTCTCCTCCTGCCCTCAATCTTTCCCAGCATCAGGGTCTTTTCTAATGAGTCGGCTCTTTGCATCAGGTGACCAAAGTGTTGGAGCTTCAGCTTCAGCATCAGCTCTTTCAATGAATATTCAGGGTTGATTTCCTTTAGGATTGACTGGTTTGATCTTCTTGCAGTCCAAGGGACTCTCAAGAGTCTTCTCCAGCACCACAGTTCGAAGGCATCAATTCTTTGGCGCTTAGCCTTCTTTATGGTCCAACTCTCACATCTGTACATGACTACTGGAAAAACCATGACTTTGACTATACAGACCTTTGTTGACAAAGTGATATCTCTGCTTTTTAATATGCTGTCTAGGTTTATCATAGCTTTCCTTCCAAGGAGCAAGAGTCTTTTAATTTCAAGGCTGCAGTTTTTCAGTTCAGTTCAGCTCAGTTCAGTTCAGTTGCTCAGTCGTGGCCAACTCTTTGCGACCCCATGAACTGCAGCACTCCAGGCCTCCCTGTCCATCACCAACTCCCAGAGTTTACTCAAACTCATGTCCGTTGAGTCGGTGATGCCATCCAGCCATCTCATCCTCTGTCGTCCCCTTCTCCTCCTGCCCCCAATCTTTAAGGAATCTATAATATATACTTCAGAGATTTGAAATAATGATGACAAAGACCTTATACAAAGGGACAGAGAGAGAGAACCCACACACGTGCCATTTAAGAAAGATTCAATAAACAGGCAAACTTACCGTATAAACGATATTTCCAACAAATAAATAGTCTGTGGCATGACCATTGGCCAACACAGTATCTGAAAAACAAAGAAGTCACAATTAACCTGTAGAGCGCTGCAGTCTGTTTTACTCAGAATGCAAAAAGAGAACTTCAGAGACATTTACATTTGTCACATCATCTGTGGTTCTAATGCCTCCTCTTTCTAACTCTGAATTTCTTCTTCTTATATTTTCTCCAAATGAAGCAAACACACAAAGTCAGGTTTCCAACCAACCAACCAACCAACCACTTTTCATACAGATTAAAATTTCTCTTTGTCTATTAGAAGAAGGGATAGAATAAAACCATATTAATCTATCTCTGGGTTTCCCTGGTGGCTCAGTGGTAAAGAATCCATCTGCCAATGAAGGAAATGTGGGTTCAATCCCTGGGTCGGGAAGATCCCCTGGAGAAGGAAATGGCAACCCGCTCCGGTATTCTTGCCTGGGAAATCCCATGGACAGAGTGGCCTACAGTCCATGGGATCAGTCATAAAGGGTCGGACATGACTAAGCAACTAAACAACCAAAAAATCTATTTCTGTGAGTGCTAGTATTAGACAGTCTCTGTGTGTTCATTTGTCATTTGTCTTTAATTTTTGCTAAATTGGCATTGTAGGCCAATAGCAGAGATAACTATGTGATACAAAATGAGTCCATGATGACTGCACTCAGAATTCTGGAAGACATTCACTACTCATGTTCTCCATCAACTTCTATGTGAATTACTGGGGGCCTGTAAATGCAAACATTCAATGCGAGATGCCTAGACAATATAACTAGGATGTGAAGCCTTAATTTTGCAGCTTTTCCATTTTCCAACGTACATAATGATCACTAAGACAGAAGTGAAGGGAAAGTCACTCAGTCATGTCTGACTCTTTGTGACCCCATGGACTATACAGTCCATAGAATTCTCCAGGCCAGAATACTGGAGTGGGTAGCCTTTCCCTTCTGCAGGGGATTTTCCCAACCCAGGGACCAAACCCAGGTCGCCCACATTGCAGGCAGATTCTTTACCAGCTGAGCCACAAGAGAATTATCTAGTTCAGGTCAGCTAGCCTGCTGTGAAAAGTCTGATTTTTACCTTGAGGGTTGAAAACCTGTTTTAAAATCAGAAATGGTTTATTTGAGTGACACCGCCAATGTCCTTTTATTCTTTCTTTATACCCAAATTAGACCTGTGGCCTATAGGCCACGTAAACATGGATTTTTGTGTTCAAATTTTCAACCCAGTAGCTGTTGTACATGTACACTTGGGCTCATCAATTTACCCATCTGTTTGTTGAAGAATCTGACTCATGAAAGAATCAAAATCTATTTAGTTTTGTCAAACACCATAATGACGAAGTACATCACAGGTAAAATATGATCGTCATGGGACCCTGGATCCAGCCACAGGGTGTTCTCTTTCTCCTGAGTCCTGGTAAGAAAATTGGTGGATAAGGACAGATGAATCCTCAAAGAGACATCACGGGCTATGTTAGCTACAGACCTAAACTGAGAGTTTCCAAACTACCTCCTGTTTGTTTTAGCTCAAGATGGATTTCCTATCCTTAGTCTTGCCCTCTGACTTCACAAACGAAGAAAAGACATTTGATTGAGATGAGCAGTGATCTGAGGGCCCTGAGTTCTACCTACACGAAACCCTGACGGAGTCTGGAGAAAACACTGATCAGATGGAAGACTTAGAACAGCTGGGAGGCTAAGCTGAAAACCAGGTTTACAATTATGGTTTGACAACTTCTGAATTTCCTTTCAACAGTAATATTACAAAGGCTGGTTGACTCATGTGCTAAAAGAAATTAAACATACAAAGCATTTGTCTACATATGGAGGACTGAGAATGTGCTTCATACTTCAAGAATATACACTTAATGAACAGAAAACTGTTAATTCTACACTGAAAATAGAAATTACATTACTAAGCATAAGACAGGCTCTGTTCTAAGCACTTTACCTCCATGAGTATGCTTACTAATATATGTAATACTAATAGATGACTATTAGCATTGCTAATACACAACACTAAAATACCTAACACTTCTTTGATGCTCCAGCAATGGTATGAAATGGTATTATGACCTGCATGTTTCAGATGAGGAAACTAGGGCAGCAAAGAGAAGCTAAATGACATGTGAGGCCATACTCTGAGTGAGAAACTGTGGACTCTGGAAATAAGACATTGTTCTCACTAACTGAGAGAGAGAAATAGATCCCAAAGTGGTACAGAATCTCTGCCACGTGAATCTCACTTTTATTTCCACCTTATTTCTCTTCTAGAAAGTTCCTTCCTATTAGGTGTTGGTATTTCAAAAGAATTCTTCTTAATCTAGTTATTTTTCCCCTCGAAGTTGTCTTCTTTTATTCTTCGGGGGCCATTTTTCCCATCAGTTGGAGGGTGCTGTCCCTGTGATGGCAGGGTGTTCGGCAGCATGCCTGGTCTCGATCCACAGGATGAGAATAATACCGACTCCCTGGTTGTGAGCCAGTAGTATCTACCATCAAGTTGTGACAACAAAAAATGCCTCTGGACACTGCCAAGGTCCCCTGGGGAAAATTCCCCATATTGAGAATCACAGTATTAGAGGAAAGAAAACAGAGGAGCTGGAATAAATACAGAGAATACACCCTGAAATAAGAGTGGTGAATGAAGGGAATGCCCCTCGTCTGCAGTCAGGCTGAGGAGCAGAGTATGTTAGGACCTCACAGCTCACACCATCAGGAGAGAAGTAAGGTTAGGCCTTGGTACAAAGAGATGGAACTGCCATTGCTTGATGGCTTTTAAAGGGACAAACTCTGTAATCACCTCCAGGGCTGAGACCTCACTGATGGAGAGAGCATCTCCATGGAGACCCTTAAGACCATGGACCACCATGCTGGGAATTTGGCACAAACAGAAGAAACAGATAGTGAAACCCAGGGATCTCTTCTAACTGTAGCTTCTAGAATTTTATAAGGCATGCATTTCTACCTTGCCATGACAGTACAATGCTACTAGCATTAAATAACTGGCTTGCACCTGAGTTCATCTGAATACACTTAAGATTAGTGAAGCCAAGATAACCCTACTATTCCAAATCATCATTTTTCAAGGATAACTCAACACTGTGTTTTAAGTTTCTGCTTAGGAAAGAGCATCTCCCAGCCCAATCGAAACTAATACCATCTGGGAATAATTCATTCCTTGAAGGAGAAATTCCCAAACTAACTTGTGATTCTGAACATACCAACAGCCTTGGAAAAGACAGCATCCACTAAACAACTCAGAAGTCACTGCTTGGCCCGCCCTTTTTGGGAAATTCCCACAAAATAGTGTGTTCTCTTAAAAGTTATATGTTGACTGCTTTAGAGGGAAATACCCATTGGAATCAGTTCTTATGAAAAATTTGCCAGTAGCATCCTCCTGAAGAAAAGACACCAAGTCTTAAACGATCATTGGTGAAAGAACACATTCATAAGCTACAGCTGGCTTATAATTCAAGGCTGGAAAAGTCCATTTGCACTGTCCACTTTATTATTTCTGCAGCACGTTACTCACAAATTATTTCTTCCTGTTTTGCTTAATCTTAACAATACTGTTAAGATCCACCACTCTACTCTGAAAAACAACTTTCCTGTAGCTTAGCTGTTTTCATTTTAGCAGGGTATTTAAAACTCAAGTAACTTTTTAAATAGGAGATAAAGAACCCCTAAACCAAGGTAAGTCATTGGGTTCCCAAGCCAGCCTTTAGAACATATTTATCCACCGTCTACGTAAGCGATGATAAGATTACTGCAGATGAAGCAGCACGGGGGGCACAGATGGATGTAGGGAGGAAGGGGGCAGAGAGAGGGGAAAGGACAGTTCAGGCACAAAAGGAAATACATCCACCTAGAGACATGGGGGTGGATGCCTGCGCTGCATCAGGCGGTGACGTCAGCTGGAGCCAAGCCATTCCAGGTTCTGAGAAGGTCCCAGTAAGAGAAACCCATCCAATGCACAGGTGGAGAGAAGTGATCTCAACACACCTTTATTCACCAGCATGATGTTGAGCATCTCCCAGTAGAAACCATTACTAGCACACAAAGGCCCAGCAGGCCCAGGGCGGGGTGGGGGAGGGAGAGGAAGGGAGAGAGGGATTGAGGGGGGAGGGGGACGAGGGAAGAGGAGAGAAGTGGGCTGCCTGTTGTGTCAGCACTCTCCGCAGCGTCTCACTGGACCATGTGAGGTCAGCCAGGAGATCGAGATTGAGGATCAGCTCTCCCTAGATGAGAGCTGAAACAGGGGGGGGACAGTGTGTTCTCCCCGTCCCTGTGGTCCAGGGAAAGAGCTCTGCAAGGTAAAAGAAGCTGTAAGAGTGGGAAAGATGCTTGTCTCACTTGTTGGTCACATATAGAATGACCTGGTGGGGCTGCATGTGGGGTAAAATCTGATACAATAATGGGATGACCGTGTACATCAAAGGTGGTATTACGGGAGCCTGAAGCTCTGTCCTGAAAGCCACTCATTCTCCTCCAGGCAGAAATGATGCTGTGGCTTCAGGACCCACAGACCCTCAGCAGCCGCCCAGCCTGTTGGTCCAGACTTACGTTATCTGCAAAGTAGGGTTGGAGTCAGGGACTAGCATGATGTAGGAATAGCCAAATGAGGTTGACAAACCCAGACACTAAACCGACTGGTGTGAACAATGACGACAAACCCACATGGACCCTCCAGTGACTAGTGACAGCCCCAAACACTGCAAGCAAAACGCTCTCCAAGAATGTTTGTGGGGAAAGTCTGTCTCATTTTCTAAACAGGCAGAATGATTGGGGAACTTACCTCAGAGGCTTCCAAGGGGCTAGGCTGATGACATCTTATAAAGATGCCATTTCAATGAAATACTCGTTAAACACACTACATTATGACCCGGCTAAACCACAAAAACGTATTCAGAGAGGGCTTTGACGAAAAGCAAAATCTGAAGCCTAAGTTACAGCGTAGTCCTGTGCAGTCAGGGCTCAATAATCAAGAAAACAGATGGCGTGAATGCATACATGTGTTTTTGGTGTGTTA